GGGGGGGGGGGGGGGGGGGGGGGGGGGGGGGGGGGGGGGGGGGGGCAGACCGAGCTCCCTACGCCTGTGGTAGGCAAAGCTACAACAGTGCATGGCAATGTGAATGCTGCTGGAGTCTAGACGTCCTTGATGTCGACGGCGAAGTGATGCCAGGCGACCCGCCGTACTTCTCACTTGGAAACGCGGTTCGTCCCGAAACTTCCAGCTCCAGCATGGCATCAGACAATTTCATGATGCCTAACAATCAACCAGCGGAGAGTCGTCTGGGCAGTACCAAATATGCAAACGATGCACATGGTTCTCTCAAATTGGTACTTCGGTCCATCTGACTATTACTGTTAGTGTCGGATTCGCTAGTCTTTGCTGCTGTAAGCCTCATCGACTGCACGTCACCCAACGGAGGCAGGCTTCACGCTTTGGCTTAGTTTCAAGGATGCACACCACGCGAGCAGTACATCAACCAAACGGTACCGCCCGTACCTGTAGTTTTTGTTTACTTCTGGTGGTGTCGCCACCGATAGCTGAGCGATCGCTGTCTGCTTAGTGTCCAGCTCCGGGTGGAGAAGGAGAAAGGCGCTGATTTGCCAACATAGATGCACACACGGGGGCGGTGGTTGCAATGAACACAAGGAAATGATAACGACGACAACAATGACGGCGACGACACTAACGAGAGCGATCGTATCAACGGTGCAAAACGCCTGTTTATTCTTGCTGACACTGCGCGGACGGGCCAACACTACACAATCACCGAAAACAAAAACGGATGCTGAGTGCTTGACGGCAAGAGATCGACAGTCGTAGCTGGGCTGGACAGCTCTCGATTTCCCTCTTTCGCCGGCTATTCCGCCGCAGCCGCTATCGCGATTGAAGAACAGAGGCTAGGCTTGTCAGGTTGCGTACGGTGATTCGCCCAAACCAGAGGGAACACCAGGATTCGTGTTGGTTTACAGTTGAGTTTCCAGACGGCTTCGACAAGAAGTTACCTAGGTACGGCCGTGCTGGACCCCGCCCCCACGAAGATAAGCTGAGAGTGATCACGCCTTCCAGCCCGCGCTCCCCCGTCCTCGTCGTCACCCCCGCCACAAAGCCTCCTCTGATGGCTGCCGCGCCGAATCCCCTTCGTCCCTGCGTCAACCCCCGCGCTACTAGCACGATCGCCAAAGGCAGCACCAGCACCAACGCCAACGGCGGAACTTCCAGAAGGCCGCGGCGGGGCGGAGGCGAAGGCCGAGTGGTGACTGTGTCCGTTGCTCGCCTAGAGATGGAACACGAAGCGGCAGCAATGTCAGCAGCGCCAGCGGTTTCAGCGCACGTTGCTCTGTTCCTATGCAGGAGTAAACGCGTGGAGTAATACAATAGTACTACAATAGTACTACAATAGTACTGGAATACAGTGTACACTGTACACCAACGAGGGGCCCATTCCGTCTGTTTGATGCAAGGCAAAATGTTGCGGTGTGAACTTCAACAGAGTCTTCATCCACACTAAAAAGCAGTAGCCCCGTCGAGAACCGCGACAGACGACGACAACACTAGCATATCAATGCATATGGTTCTATGAATATTTTCTCGGAATACGAAATAAGACGACGAGCATGCCAGCGGGAGCAGCAGCTAGGAGGCAACACCACGCTACACGCATGTGCGTGTTACTGCGCACAAGCATCGTCGACTGCGCTGAAGGTCGCGCAAGCGACATGTGGAAATGCTGTTGTTCACTGCTGCTGCTCACACTGCAGGGGAACGGGAGTTGGACAATGCCGTAAGGATCTGTACGATAGGCTCTGTGGTTCGACTGGATACCCTCTTCTTCCCTCTGTCCAAAGAAGTGCCCGTGCTGCGGCATCGGGCCAATTCGCCGAAGGGCGTGTGGTATCATACGTCATACTCCACTTCTTGTGTGCGTGTGTGCGTGTGTGCGTGTCAGGCTCCACTTGTGTTACGTGAACGTGAGAAGGAGAGAGCACCTGGGACATTAAGCAGCGACATGCATGGTGGCCATGCATGGTGGCCTACCGGGAGTGCAATGCCAGCCCGAATTTGAAGCGGTACAGACAATTTCCGAAAACAATCATGATGCAACATCACCAACCTTTGCGCACATAGCCTGGCTCCATACCATGCCGAGGCTCAGGAGGCCTCCTCCGCCGGCTAGAGCGTGTCTCCTCATCATGGCACACAGACCAGATTGCAATGCTAGTGTAGACGTTGAGAAAGGTGAGAGAGGGGTGTAGGTGTGTGAGAGAGCGTGAGGATGAAGAAATGGACGAGAGACGAGACGAGAGACGAGCGGGAGGTGCGAAAAAACGCCTCGCTTCATTTTTGTATCTACGGTTGAAAAGGTGCCCCAAAACACGCACGCACGCACACCCCCGACCTCCCTTGGGTGCTACATACACACCCATGAGGCATGCCACGGTAGCCACGGCGGCCCTAGTGGTGTCGTGTTGCCTACTTGCATGCAGCTCTTCTGTCGCAGTTGCTTGGACGACAACGCAGTCGTCTCGCCGCTTGTTCGAAGCCTCCCCGTCTCTTCAATGTCGACAGTCCAGCGCCCGCCCGCTAGCTCGACTCAGAAGCAGCCGCAGCAGCGATAGCGGTTACGGCGTACGAGGTGGTGGTGCCGCTACCTCTTATCCATCGTTTGGCTGTCGGGGGCGGCAAGTACAGCGGTTACCATGGCTTCGGCAATCGTCAAGTCGTTTATGTTCAACAACAACAGGAACCGAGTCAGAAAACACAGGTATTCATGTTATGCAGTGCATTTTCTGCTGCGTGCTTGCTTCTGAACTGTCTATACGTTAACGCAGGGCAGTTGCTAAAGCTTGTGTGCTATGGAAGGAAGAGTCGATACATATGCTGTACGTGCCTGGATTGTGGCAATGTTACGTTGGCCTGATCTCACTCTAGACACTTGTTGCTATGGCCAAGGAGGAGAACGCGGCGGAACCTCAGGTGTGATACCGTAGTCTAGATGAACCCTGTTTGCGGTTCGGCTCTAGACTACATCTGGTATGATGTTATGCTCCACCTGAACTCTCCCATACAGCCATGCAACTGTTTTGCGTACCGGTTGCCTTCCCTCGCCCGACGGAATGCTCCGGGCATCATGACGATTCATGAATACCCTGGTTCGAGACAAGATGGCGATTGTCGTCGTCTCTTTCACACCTTAACTCTCCTTACTCTCTTGTCATCACTCGTCAAAAAGTCCACGCCATATTCTGCAGCTACAGTATCAAGTTGATGCTGGGAGTCGGCGCTTACTATAGGAAGGCTTTAAATGTGGAACACGCTCCAACTCCGGCATTGTCAAACATGGTTGCCAACGAGATTCTTCGCGTGACTCGCATCCGTGTGGGCTTCACGATGCCGCTGCGCTCCAACCACCTCCTTTGTGGCACGTCTCGACTATAGATGTGCATCAAAAGCGCGTGGTGTACGTTGCGTCGACTTGAAACCCACTTTTTACATGATACGCCCAGTCCTTCTGCGTTCTGTGACAAGAAACAGCCGGGTTTGGTTCTGGGTCTTCTCTGTCATCTATGATCGAAATTGAAACAGACCTGAAACAGATGCATGCTTACATGCTTACGTATGCAGAGTATGTTCCCATGCCACATTATCCGAGCGAAGTCTCCATCCATCCAGGCATCGGCATTGCCCCGCATGCCAACTGACACACGACTTTCTTATCCCGCTGCCTGGCTCCCGACCCCCTCCCCCTGCCCCGATCCCACCGACTCATATGGACAAACCGCCCGTTTGTCCCTTCTACTGATAGCTTCTCCCACAGGCGACAAATCAGGAGGCGTTCACGGCGTCGGTGAGGATGCGGGGATGGGGAAAAGCGAACCTCGCCAGGGGGCGGACTTGAATACGCAAATCGGGCTCTTTGTGGAGATGTCAACTCCCTTCTTCAAGGCAAGTTGTCGTGTTGTTTTCTCCGTTGTCCCTACTCTCTTGGTTGAACCCCAAATCTGTTCGCTTAACACCGTCGTACAATATGAGTAACACTATTACAGCATATGAACATCCATCCATGTTTTGGTCCAAACCCACTTCCTCTCGCCTAGTAGAGCGGCATCCTCTGAGGTTGAGATCTAGCCAAACGCGGGTTTTGTTCGTTTCACCATGTCGAAAAAATGGCGTACGACAGTTTCCGTACGGGGCTCTGCCAATACCGTATTTCTTATTGGCAGGAGGAGAATGGTGCTCGCTGGCTGCTGGCGACAGTGGTGGCTTTGACGCTCCTCAACAGCGGTGTGTCCGTCGCCTTCTCCTACATCGGCCGAGATTTCTGGACGGCTCTCTCGAACAAGGACCCCGCCCAATTCAATATTATGTTGCAAAGGTGTGCTTTGACTCCCTTGTTTTTTTTCTGTTCTTTCTCAAGAGTTCTCAAGATACTTTTTCGTCTTGGATTGCGCTGTCACGCTTTTACACGCTTTACTAGCCTTCTCTTGGTGTTTCTTATTCTTACCTTCCTCGCTGTGTAGTCTTTCACTTGACGCAGTCTATCATGCTGCAGAAGTCCACCAGATTCCCTATGATATTTATTTCGTTTGATGTCTTGGCGTTGGTACGTACTTCTCGGGTGACCCTGCGACGGTTGGACGCCATTCTGACAAAACTTGGTCGACCTACCCTTCCCGAATTGGTATAGGAGATCCGAAGCGTGCGTCTGTTTCGGTTTTTCGAGGTGGCCGCTCGTGTCAACCTGTCGCCACAGACCTGTGCATTGAAAACGTATATGAGCCATCGCCGTCGCTCGCGTTGACGTCTTGTTTCACGTGGCAATGCCTCTGCCTCCGTTCACCTTTCACCCCACATCGCCGTATCACACACCGCCATGACACGGCCTGCTGCTACGTACGTCCATTTGTACTTATCATGACGTGGCGGGTTACCTTCGGTTCCTCAAGGTTTCTTTTGGCTTTGATAGCTGGCGTCCCTGTGACGGTGTTCTACCGCTTTGAGAGGCAAAAGCTAGCGCTATCGTGGCGAGAGTGGATGACGAAGCGAGTCATGGAGGTGGGATTAGCCGGGACACATGGAAAGCATGCCGAAAGAGTCTCCGGGCGTTCCCTCCGCACCGGAGTCAGTTCGCTTAGTGATTCAACGCTTGGGCTACATCACAGTGATAGGAGGCCATATAGCTTCCTAGCTGGCATCCCCATTTTCCCGAAGTTGTCCGCCAAGCGTTTCGAGGCTTCGCGTGGTTGAATTTTTTGCGAGTGTGGAGGAACTCAGAACGTTGAATGTTGGTATGGGTAGCGTGTTCCATGATACCTGCTAGACATACCGAACAACGACACCATTTTATCCTTACCTTGTCATCATTGTGCTTCTCTGTTGTACGACTCTGTATCAGTAGAAAGGTTCGTTTTTCCCATTACTGCATAACTCCATCGCGTTTCCTTCTCTGGGATGGCAGATCTACTACAGCGGGCAGACATACTACGCCCTGGAGGCCTCGAAGGAGATCGATAATCCCGATCAGAGGATAGCCGAGGACGTGCGGGCGTTCACACAAGTGTCGCTGGAGTTCCTCATCACGGTGCTAACATCGTGCATCGACCTCGCCTCTTTCTCGACCATCCTTTACTCGTAAGTGACATAAAACATGCTTTTGGGTGCCGTTGTTTTTCGATCACATGGCCGTGTGCCCTTTCTGCTGCGCTCGGAGCTTTTGTGTTGCGCGTCTAAATCGAGTGGTGTGTGGGATTTGTGATATTCTCATGCGCTTGAGAAATGTTGAGCACAACGCACCTAGTTCGCCTCGACGTTCGAGCTGTACATTACCCCAGCTACAGTAGGCATGTCGGAGTTGTCACCGTACACCGGAGATATTTTCCGACATCTACTGTCCGTCTCTTGGCTGTCACAATCTCTCCTGATCAATGGCATATAAGTGCCCCGCCCTCCATGTGGCGACTGCTGTCTCGTGCGTAGTATCTACCCGCAGCTGTTCATCGCTATCATCGGCTACGCGTCCGTGGGAACCTTCGTCACCACCAAGCTAGGCGGCAAGCTCGTGGGACTTAACTTCGATCAGCTCCAGACAGAGGCAGATTTCAGGTGAGTTGGCGTGCGGTCGCTTTCCTGTATCCCCTCGACGAACTTCCTCTTCCTCTCGCCGTTGCCACATTATGCACTGGTGGGTACCAAAGATGCGCGGCAACTTGCAGGTGTAGGCGGACTGTGGGTACGGGGTAGATGTTGGGCCTGTTGCGGATTTTGCTATCGGAGTTTCATGGGCAAAAGATACCCCCGCGCAATCTCGAACTCTTCCTGCCGAGGTTGCTGCTTCGAACCTCAAGGGCGATCTGTGCTGTCTAGTGCGCTGGTTCGCTGAATGAAGCCTATCACCACTTTTTTCCCTATCCCATCGCCAATCAGCGTTTTTCGTTTTTCGTTGCGTGCGAAGTAGCGTAGATTCGACAAGTTGCGTCCCGTCCGAAAGCACCACGCCCTAACTGTAGCACCGCCGCCCGGTCCCAGTCTTGCTCATCCCATAACTCAGCACCCTCTGAATTTGCGAGTTTTCTGTTGTGCATGGCACAGGGTGGATTGTATAACTCCTCACCACTACGACCTCATCCACATGGATCCCCCCCCCCCAAATCCATCCTCCTCCACAGGTACTCGTTGATTCGCGTACGGGAGAATGCCGAGTCAATTGCCTTCTACGGGGGCGTGCAACAGGAGTTGAACGAGGTCCAGCGGCGTTTCGGCAAGGCTTTGGACAACTTTGGCCAGGTCATCCGCGCGCAGCGGAACCTGGAGTTCTTCACCACCGGCTACCGGTATCTCATTCAGGTGGGATTAACACATGTGTTCACACACCTTTGCACCACGCTTAAGTATTATTCGCCTGTAAACCGGTTGATTGACGTGACGATTGGCGATGATTGGTGATCTTGTATCGAAGAACGCCTGTCTTTCCGGACTCCGGGCGTGTTGGCTTTATGGCGTCAGGCCTCTGTACTCGATTCAGGCAAACAAAGCTCTCGGTAGCATTTGTTCCATCAAGCATGTTGTGTGGGCTGAGCCCGGAAATGTCCATGGTTTTTGAGGTTGTCGCGATAATGGCCGGGCGAGTTTCGATCGCTCAACTCCGATACGAGGCCCTTGACGCGAATAATTTACTTCTGGACAGCACCATTAACCATACGTAGCACGCTGAAGTGTCTATTTGCTCGGCGTGACGCCAGCGTTAAATCCCTCCCGTGAGTTCCGATAGTGCCCACACTGGAGTGAAAATGGGTCGTTGTGCTTTCGTCGACTTGGTTGCTTCAGTCAAGTCGCCAATACGTGTCCGTCATTAATTTTCCAATAGCGTCTTTCCAATTGGTTTGTCAAGAGTAGTCCCGAATCGTCCGGAAACGGTCGAGGCCCCGTATCGTTCACCCCTGTGGTGCGGGGGTATGAGGCAACAGCAGGCACATAGCGCTAACTCCTGGTGCTTTTGTGTTTCCGTCGGGATCGGTCAGGTCCTCCCAGGCTTCGTGGTGGCACCGCTCTTCTTTCAAGGGAAGATCGAGCTCGGAGTGGTGAGCAGGTTGTCGAGTATGCTGCCTGTCAAGTCATTTACACCAAAAAGGGGAGCGTTTTTCAATGCACGGCGGCATGTGGGCTGGTCGTATCGTGGATTGCTTGAGTGTGTCTTCGGTCGTACTGCCGTTTGTGGTTTCTTTACCCGGCTAGTACCAGCCTGTCCTCCCGAATCGTGCCGCATGTTGAAAGCCCTTTGCGTCGTCGTCATGCGAAGCCTCTTTGTTCACTCGCCCAATCACCCGACGCCACAGTAGTTTCCACAAGGTCGGTGGCCGAATCGCATGGCAGCCATCTTCAACCATTCCGACCTGTCGCACATATTATACTGTGCACGACATTTGCGGTACCATCCCGAAGGGTCCTCCGTCTACTCCATCCTCCGGGCTTTCGCGTGTGACCTCCAATGTTGTTGCCGACACGAGCGAGTCACAGGGCACACGGCCTCAAACCTATACCAACAAAACGTGGCTGTGCACTGACTAGGGCGGATGATGTTTTCTATTGCAGTTCTATAACCCCCAGATAACTAACCTTTTGCCTCAACGACTGCTATTTTTTTTATTCACCAGGTCAGCCAATCGTACGGTGCCTTCAACCACATCCTCGGCGACCTTTCCTTGATAGTCAACCAGTTCGAGTCCTTGAGTGCCTTCTCTGCCGGCATCGACCGCCTCGGGGAGTTCTTGGAGAGGATGAGTGGCATGGGTGAGTGCTGTAACCGTATTTTTCAACTGCAGGAAATGCCATTCTGACGAGCTCATCGAATGGAAGGCACATGATTCGGAATAACGGAAGAAAACCTGGTGCGCAGGGCTTGTCGCGGGTACATGATACGGCGCGTTTCTTCAAACTTAATCCCCGATCTCGGTCGAGGGCGACCAATATGATGACTTACTGGAGTGAGTCAGGACGGTTCATCTTGTGTTGTATACATAGCGTGTTGGCTTTGTGACTGCTGGCGTTGCCCGGAGTTGTGAGGGTTTGTTGAAGTGTTGGGGCGTGAATGGTCCAGCTGTCTGAAGAACGAGCGAGTGAACAAGTGAATGGAGGAATGGGTGAGTGAATTGGTACATGACTGAGTGAATGGATGAATGGGGAAGTGAACGAGTAAATTGGGAATATTGAACGAATCAAGTGTTGAATGAGTGAATGAGTGGTCGTGTACGGGGTTCTGTGCCACATGAAGTATTGTGGTGCACGATCTAGACCATGCCTCTTCACCCCACTCCGACCCACCAATCCCTGTTCGTGAACCTCTACCAGAAACCATCGCGAACATCACCGACAACAAGCGGGGCCTTCTAGCTGCGCCAGCGTCGACGTCGTCGTCACCTTCATCCAGCCCACCGTCTGTGCCTGGCCACACCGCCCTGGACAGCCCGCTTAGAGACAACTTGCTCGGGGATGACCAACCGGAGCAGGAAGATGGCCTCAACGAAGGGGAAGGGGTGGGGGTGTTGACGACGGAGACGGCGAAGGGTGCGAGACTGACTGTGGAGGACGTGTCCGTAGTAACACCCACAGGTCAGGAATGCCAGAGGTTTGCATCTTGCAGCTGCAAGCGATGTGGGAGACTAGCACCGTGGCGTGTCTTGCCTTGTATATATGCATTCGGTTTGGGCTGTGTTGTTTCGATGGTACAGCTTATTTTCGCGACTGATTACAGAGGATATTCGCGACTACTTACAGACACTAGGATATATCCGCCACCCCAACAGTAAACGCTCATGGAATAACCAGTACTTCGTGTGAACTGTATTTTTTTGCTCTGTCCCATCAACTTGACAAGTACGGTCATCGTGTGTGGCCATGTGGTTGGATTCCCGCCCCTGGAGTATAGAGGGGAGCTTTTCTGACATCGAATGTGTCCCTTCAAGTTGCTAACTTTATTTTGATTTCGAGATTCGAAGCAACGAGAGAGCGCGTCATGCTGCCTCGAACATAGGCATGCTAGTTTTTTTACATGTATTCCTCTGTGGGTACGTAGAAGGGGGCGATTCCTGCTTGAGTTTTGCTCCAACCCCTTGGCCAGGGATAGGATTGGGAAAGCGGCGCCTTTCACGTGTTCGTTTGAGGCTGAGCGCCAATGTTCCCGTGTTGTCTTCTTCGAATCCTTGGAGTTGAGACAGTACTTACTCCACCGTACAGTGCCAAGGTGTCGAGTCCTTCTCAATGAGGATGCTTTCTCTTCCACCCAATGATCTTTGTCTACGTTGTTGCATCTATCTTGCTCTTTCTCAAACACGGTTCGGTGCTAAATGTAGTGAAAATCCAAGTCTACATGTTTGGTTTAACGCGGATTACTCGTTCTTTCCAGCTGGTCGAACATTGATGAACTGGATATTTCAGCTTCAAGTGATATTCACGTCCACTCTTTCGATTGCCAGGAGGACGCGTTTTAATGAGTGGGTTGTCCTTCAGCCTCGGCGACTCAGAGCGCTTGCTGATCGTTGGGGAGTCAGGCGCGGGGAAATCGAGCTTGCTTCGTGCAATAGCCGGCCTTTGGACAACAGGTACAGTACTGACCTTCCCTGCGTGATTGCATTGGCCATGTACCTATGGTTGATGCATTTTTTCGAGGCTTCTGCCGTTGCTGGAGTTGTGGAGCCTCATACGTTGAGGTGCCCAATTTGTTTTGATACGTTTCTCGACGCTGACGTAGCCCTCGCCATCACTTTCAATCTTCCGCCGGACCCCACATGCCGCCAAGATCACCTTTCGACGTCGAGCACGTTGGACACTCGCTACTTCCAGCGTCTAACTCTGTGTACTGTTCTTTGACCTGTAAGACGCGTTTAGACCCTTTTCGGAATCCTTTATGCGGGCCTGTCGAAGTGAGCGTCCCGCTCTCCGTCGCGCTCTTGGCTTGAAAGGTTCGGGGAAGATCGTCCGTCCAACGAAGGAGGAGATGTTCTTCCTTCCGCAGAGGCCGTACTGTACACTCGGCCCGTTGAGAGACCAGATCACGTACCCATCGAGCCACGGTGGTGCGGAGGCGGCGGGAGAGGACGGTGATGCGGGAGCGGTAGAGGGCACGGCAGAAAAAGGGTCGATTGCGGATGACGACGAGCTCCTCGACCTTTTAGAGAAGGTGCCACGGAATGTCTCTTTTGGTTGCGGATTTGCTGCTCGATTTGTGTTTGGGTGCGTGGCGACAGGTCTTGCTTGTGGATTCCGTTGTGTGTCTGGTCAGCGCGTAGCTTGGATGACTGACTTCTGTGCCTCTCTCTCTCTCTCTCTCTCTCTCTCTCTCTCTCTCTCT